TTTTCTTTCCATCTGAATCATTCAATATGCCTTTGGAGCACAATGGAGCTGTGATTTTTTTCAAAGCCGCCAGCCTGCAGGAAACAGAAGGTCTCTGAATAAAAGGGAGGCTCTTGTTACAACTTCCCTCTTATTTACTGTTCCCAGTAGCAGAGAAGTAAAAAGACAATGAATGAAATGGAGGATTAATCATGCGTAGCACTGAAATATAAACAAGGAGACTACACATCCCAAAGCACTGCTCCAAGGAATGGCTCGTGCCTGCAGCATGCAAAAATCTTGCAGCACCAAGACCACCTAGACTTAATGAAAAAGGGCAAAAGGCAGAGGAGGCTCCACAGGTGGTTTTTCAAAGGTAAACTTGCAAACTGGGAATTTGACATGGACTTTTCTCTGTTCAATGCTCTCAAAAGTTGAATTCAAGTTGATATCCTGTGTGCTTAATCACTGGTCCATGACTTTTGCAGAGGAAACTCCCTATTTTCCCATTTTTTCACATTAATTTTAAAACAATAAAAGTTCAGGACAACTCCTTTGTCCCACAGAAGACTTTAAAAAATGCTTCAGAGAGAACCTACTGTGCTGCACATTGTGTAGCTTTGCTTCTAAAAGGGGTTGTTGTCATTAGGCTTGCTCCCTTTTCCACTTGCTTTTGGGTTGGTATCCAAATACCAAAAGATTACTAATCATGTTCCTTATTTATTTTTTTAAGTCAGAGTACTGATTAATACAGTAAAACCTGTATTTGATTTTCAGCTGTAGAATTTGAGCATTCACTCCAGTCTTTGCAAAGGTGTTGAGCACCTCAAGTTAATTGGTAATAAATTAACCTTGGGAGGTTGTTTGTGTGAGGCAGATTACGTGCATACAGTTTTGTGAAGGACTTCAGTGAAGCAAAACATAGGAAAGAAATGTGGAAATGGGGATGTGTAACACAATTCAAATTGCCTGAAATATCTGTAATAAATAGTTGATTTGTGTATCTGAATATCTGCATCTGTCAGGTAAGTTGATTTTTCTGGCCTTGGAATGATGCATTTAATATGAGAGTTGAAGTGAAGTGGAGACCATAATTGTACAACTGATAGGGAAGCTGCTCCTTATCCTTATTCAAAAACTCCAGCAAAGCTCTAAACTGTTTTTTTACAGTTCTCTTTAAAAAGTACACATGAAAAGGTTAGTGAAAATTTATTTGAGCCACCTGCAATAATAAAATTGAAGTGACCCAAGTCTGAAAATACCACAATACGTCTCTAAGTGAATATAAAAAGCCAGAACATGTGATATAATTAAGCTAAGAACCAAACCCAACCGATGTGTGTTAATACAAGACTTGGAGGATTATGTGAATACAAGTCTAGGAAACCAAAGCAGCGGTGCTGCTTAACTAATCTCTGCTAATAACTCCGCTACCCAGCCTTGGCGGCCTGGGGCAGGCAGCGGGCAGGGAGCAGGCAGCGGGCAGGCAGGAGCACTGCCAAAGGCTCCTGGCCTTGCTGTCTCCCTGCTTGCCTGAAGGCTTTACAGCTTGCACTGAGGGATTTGTTTCACTTTCTCTTTCTGCTGTGCGGGTCTGCACTGGACAGGTTGCAACATCCTCCATCCTCCCTGTTTGCATGGAAATCAAAATATATATTCTTTTTAATAATAAAATTAAATGTTTTTAATACTACCTCTAAAGCCATGCTGATGCTGCGTTAAACAAGTCAGTGATACCCTTTTAAATGCCCTCTCTAAATACTTTCTAAGAGGGGAATTGCATTAACCTCTAAGCTGCGACTCCCCTGTTTACACACAGCAAAGGTGCTGCCAGCCTGAGCCTGCCAGGTCCATCCTGGCCAAGACAAGAAGGGTTACCCCTGCAGGTCCCACCAACCCAATCCCCTGGCACTTGCAGCCTCCAGGTGACTCATCTCCAGAAGTTTGATTTGCCAGTGGTTCCATGGTGAGGAAGAGAAGCGGGGGAAGAGCTGCCTGGAGTCTCTCATCGTGGTACGAGTGGTTCACGGACAGGTCCTTCATTGCTTGCCTTTGATTTTATTCATTTTAGGGTAATTAATAATAGAGAGCTCCTGAGCAACCCAAATTTGGACAGTTTTGGAGATCCAGATAACAAATTCTGGGAAGAGTCTGTGTTTTTAATCCTTCTACACACTACAGCAGATGTTGGAGGATGTCAAGTCTGGATGTGGGTTTGCCGTGTGACCTGCTGAGTCCCCTGTGGTTGTGGCATCCCCTGAGCTGGAGAGACTGGTTCTGTCCCAGCATTTTCCCATGAGGATATGCACACTGACACCCTTGGGAGATCACGGAATCTGTGTGGCACTGGCTGACTCAACCGCACACTGCCAATGCAGCCAACAGCAAACGTGGTTAAAAGAATGGTTTTCCAAAAAGCTGCAGTTCCTCAGGGCAGTGAAATACTGAGGTTGACTCAATAGTTCATCCCTATAAAAAAACCCTCCACTCCTTCAAGAAGACTTACATTCTACACAGATGATTTTCATCACGTGCCAGCGAGTTGCTGTGAGGGAGGGAGGAGCTGTGATGACGATGGAGCCGACTGCACTGGTGCGGCCTCACCTTGAATATTGTGTGCAGTTTTGGGCACTGCAATATAAGAAAGATATTAAGCTTTTAGAGAGCATCCACAGGAGGACAACAAAGATGGTGAAGGGCCTTGAGGGGTAGCTGTATGAGGAGTGGCTGAGGTCACTTGGCCTGTGCAGCCTGGAGAAGAGGAGACTGAGGGGAGACCTCATCTCAGTCTACAACTTCCTCGTGAGGGGAAGAGGAGGGGCAGGCACTGATCTCTTCTCTGTGGTGACCACTGACAGAACCCATGGGAATGGCCTGAAGTTGTGTCAGGGGAGGTTTAGGTTGGATATTAGAAAAAGGTTCTTCCCCCAGAGGGTGGTTGAGCACTGGAGCAGGCTCCCCAGGGAAGTGGTCACAGCACCAAGCCTGACAGAGTTCAAGAAGTGTTTGGACAATACTCTCAGGCACATGGTGTGACTCTTGGGGATGGTCCTGTGCAGGGCCAGGAGTTGGACTCAATGTTCCTGGTAGGTCCCTTCCAGCTCAACATGTTCTGTGATTCTGTGACTCGAAGCAGGTACTCTGAGACCAGGAACTGCAAAATGTTACCTATACCAGCGGCACTGCTGGGGGTGGTGGTCAGAGTGGGGCATAAGTAAGACTGTGCTTTCATATTTTGTTGTAACTGAGCTGCCAGATTTAATGTATTCCATTTCCAGGGGTTGATGGAAAATGCAGGGATATTTGTGGTGCTGGATATTCAGAGAATTGCAAAGAGATAATGGTACAAGATGACCTGACTCCTGGACTTTCCCCCACTGCATCCCTGCCAGCCCAATGGGTCCATAATCCATATGGCCCCATTGTCCCCAAATCCCCATGAGGGGCAGGTGTTGAGTGGGGCTCTTGGGGCTCCTTTTGGAAACCCAGGATGCACCATCTACCCGCCCACTGCTCATCCTGGTATTGAGATTCCATGGCAGTCTTGTCACATTCCACTGCTAGGAAATGCTGCTGCGACCCACAGTTTTGGACCTCCTGGACAGATATCCCATTGCTCTTACAGGCATTTTCCCTGAGGCCTCTTGAATTCAGGAGAATAAGATGATGTTAAATGAACTCTGAATATAAACTGAAATACTTCCATAAAATCATAGGATCATAGAATCACTTAGGTTGGAAAGGACCTTTAAGACCATTGAGTCCAACTGTTAACCCAGAACTGCCAAATCTACCATTAAAGTGCCACAACACACATCTTTCAAATACCTCCAGGGCTGGCAACTCCACCACTTCCCTGGGAAGCCTGTTCCAATGCTTGACAAAATGCTAATAAGGTGCGCTGGATTTTTTTTTCCCTTTCCCCTCTAACTTTCTAGTTTCAGCTTCTGCTAGCAGAACCTTGATGAATCTTCATGATGAGAAGATTCCCAAAGTTTATAGAGCTTTACTTGTTTTTGGACTTGGTCATGACTACTCCAGCAAGTCACCTGGAATTTTGTATAATTGCCATTATACAATAGATTGAAAAACATAGATTATATATTGTTATAAAGTTTGAGGGTCTGTCCTTGCCAGGGTCCTCACAGGCTTTAGTCTCCTTGCCAAGGCTTCTGGGTGCAGGACCTCTGGCAGGGAGCCTTAAACCTCAACCCTCAAAATTAAGGGGAATTTCTAAAAAGAAAGGTGTGTGCTCAGTGTATCACCCAGCCAGGGCAAGGAGGAGCACAGGCAGAGGGGTGCAGGGTGCTGCCCGCTGTCCAAGACCCCTGCGCCTCTCCCTCTGGGATGCCACGGGCAATAGGAGCTGCACGAGGTGGTGACAAGCTGCTGGCATTCCAGGTGTTTGATCCGAAGAACTCACCAGTGAGACAGGAAATGTCAAGATTACATCACATGAATAATTTTTTTAAAGCCCTGAAAAAGACCTTGTTAAAGTCCATGTCTCTGCAGTGTGATCCCAGCTCCTTTTAGTTTTGCTTTGCATTTCCACTTTATGGGAACAGGCAGGCATATCCTTCCCCCAGATGTCGCTTTACTTTTCCTTTCCTTTGATTTTACAGTGCTTTTGTTCACCATGGCCTTGCCACTCACTGGGACTGGTGGAGCAAGTCCCACTTTGCGGGGCTCCCCAAAGGAAAGATGTGTAGGATGCCCACTGGACCATATGGAGCAGCCCATCGTTCCAGCATCTGAAACCAAGCGCAGGTCTTGGGCCTTTGGGGATGCTGGCTGCAGCCCAGCTTATCTGCACTGGGAAAGGATGGAGAAGATGTGGGAGTGCAGCTGCCAGCCCCTTCCCCATGTGTTTGCTTATGTTCTGGGTGGACACCCTGGGCAGCCAAACTGTGCTGCAGGGAGATACCATAACTTCATAGAGCAAAACTGCACCTCGTTATTACACTGATTTTGCAAAACTATTAAGGAGCATCCAACAGAGTATGTGACCCACACATGTTTAATTTCTTTTATGGTTTCTGTTACGATATATGATGGATGTGTTTTTTATAAAATGAAGATTTATTGGAACCTGGAATTTTATGGCTTTAAAGTTCAATTGAGTCCAGATTGTGAGTTTCTCCTTTTGGAAGAGGAGAAGAAGGTTTAAAAGAGCTCATCTGCCTGTGGCACTCATGAAACTCTAGGCCAAGGATGACACCTTTTCTCTTAACTTCTACTATAACGTCAAAGCAAAAATTTACCATCAAATATTATGTCTTCCATGCGTGATGCTGTAGATATAGATCATGGAAATTCTGTTGGACTTCTTTCTTTTAAGTTATTATCTGTGCCATAAGAAAGTCAGGACTCGGTGTAGGATCCAAGGATGAGTGGCAAGACAGCACAAACCCAAACCGTGCATAATTATTGACAATGTGCCTTCACTTCAAAACATGCTTCTGCGCTTTTGATTTTTCTCGTAAAAGCACAGCGATGCCTTTGCTGCCTGCAATGCTGAGGAAAGCAGAATGTTTTTAAAACACTGTAAGAGTAACTATTAAACACATTCCATGTATTCATGTAAAATTAGGCACAAACTAAAGCATTTTCTTGGATGGTAAACATAGCTTAGTAAAGAATAACATCAGTTCAGAAGAACATTCAGACGTTTGCTCTGGGATCTGCCCAGGGAGGTGGTAGATGCTCCATCCCTGGAGACATTCAAGGTCCCTGCTCATTGCTGGGGGTTTGGACAAGATGTTCTTTAGAGGTCCCTTCCAACCCAAACCATTCTGTGATTCTAGGAAGTAGCTCTGTTGACTTCCGCAAAGGTATTTTGCCTTTGTGCCTGCCAGGCACGAACAGGGCTGGGGGTCCTTGTGCTGTGGGGTTTCAGTAAGAGAAGTTCTTATGGCTGTCTGCTCAGGAGCCTGGGGGAGCCAAAGTATTCATCGTCCACAAGCAACATGGCAAGAAAATAGGGAAATGCTGTATTTCTGCTTTGCTGCCAGTGTCAAACAGCCCCAAGTGCTCTGGTAGGAAACAAACAGCATCCAAGGAAGCAGAGCCTGAGTCCAGCTCTCTGGTTACCACGACATAAGTAAACAAACAAGTTTATCACAAGTAATGAGGGCATTGTGCCAGCTTCAGTTAAAATAATGAAATGAAAAAAAAATCAAACCCAAACCAACAAATCATTACAGCATGAGGAAAGTCCTGAATGAAATTGATTGTTCATGCCAACTCCAGAAATATATCTTGTCGTAAACTAGGGCCTCCACATCTGCTTCAGCACCAGCAGATTCTTTATAAACAGCCTCTTTAATTTTATCTAACAGCCTGTTCGCAGACATGCAGTCCAAAAATACCTCTCCTTTTCCTCCTCGCACTATCCTGAGCTTGGCAGGGCACCAAACATGAGGTTCAGCTCCTAGTTCAAAAAAGCCCTTCTTTAAGCATCGACTGAACTTGATTTAATAAAAACTCTGTCCAGCTTCCTCCGGGCAGCCCTAATGGGATGCAGAGCCCTGCACTTCTCAGGGGCTGTTCCAAACCTGTTCCGTGTCGGGCAGTAAGATTTTTTTTTATGGTGAAACAAAATTACTTTGCACTGGAGTTGGGGAACAGTCTGGTGTTCTCCAGAGTGTCTCCTCCGAGGAGTACAGAGCTTTGCTTTCAGATATGCCACCCTCCAAAAATGAGAGTGAGCAGGCAGCACGCAATGGGATGTCCTGGTGCCATGGATACTCCAAGGGATGCTCCAGTGCCTCTGATATCCAGCCCCCTCCTCCTGCTGGCCCTGCCTTCCCTAGAGGAAGGAGAGAAAATCATCAAAGCCCCTAATCTGGCTTCCAATCCCCAAGTTCCCCTGAGGGGGGAGATGAATCCATCATGCCTCCAGTGTGGCACCGCATTGCCAAGTGCCTATAGGTGCTCCTGAAGGAAAGACTGGGTATTCACTGACAGAGAGGGGGTGTTACACTGGGGCTTGTTCCCAGAGGTTAGCCCCCACACCTGTAGCAGGACAACAACCTTTGCACCTCCTGATGCTGATGTTCCCAAGCACAGCACCGATTTTCTGTCTGCTGATTGCCTGGGAAAACTGAAAGGGGCCTTGGCTGCCTTTTAATGTCAGGACAAGAGTGGCTGATGTCACCTTAGAAGATGAAATACCTCCTTGCTTAATTGCAGGCCCAAATTTCTCGAGGAAACTTGCACAACATTGCGTTCACCACAATGCAGGATTTAGTGCTCATTAGCTCAGTAGTTGAAAATGTTTCATAATTATCCTGTTCAACAATCCAAGGCATGGATTTTGAGCCTCAAAGTTTGCAGTGATAAAGAAATATTAATGGGCTGGCACATCACGATGTTCAGGGGAAAAGGATGTTTAATAGTTTCTCCTTATGGTTCAGTTGTTTATTTAAATTACTTGGAAACTAAACCAGCAGCAAACATAACCACTGCTGTTGGGTGGCACAGTTAACAGTAAGTCGAATTTATTTAGCAAAAGATTAAATGGAGTAAAATAAAGGAGGGGGAAATTTCTTGAGTGTTCAGTGAGGCAGATCCCATTGCCAAGACATGGAGGAGGATCAACAGAAATCCCCCCAAGCCCATCCCGTCACTTGGTCATTCTGACAAAGGCAAATGAGCAGCACAGGTGTCAATGAAAGGAAACTACTGCTTTTGGCAAAGGATGCTGCAGGTCTGTAGTGATAGAGGGACTCTCAGTTGATCTGGGGGATGCTGGTGGCACCCTGTTTTTTATCGCCTCCTGGAGGAATTTTCTGAATGATCCTTGTGGTTGTGCCAGGGAGGCTTGAGAGCCTTGTGCTGCTTGGCTGTCAGTCTCCAGCAGTGCTTGTCCTCTACAATAGGAGCAAAAAGCGGGGTTTGCTGCAGGGGCTTGTGGTCTCTCCAGTCAGGTACCAAATTGCACCTTACAAAGAGCACTGCATTTGTCCTATGATACCTTACTGATCTGAACATGGCCGATGCCAGCCAGCTGAATTTCAACTGAATATTTAGGAGAAACAAATCAAAGACAGTTAAATGAATGGGAGAAGTGGGTTTAGCTGCCCAGCTGTGAGCTGCAGTACACTGATCCTTCCTCTAATATACTACACCAGGAATGTAATTCAGTTCTAAATTATTAAAAATCTCTCAATTTTGTAAATCACATTTGAGAAGGTATTTTAGTTGTACAATCATCCACTTGTTGGCAGTATCAAAGTGCTAGTGATACCTGTGCACACTCTGCAGGATTTCCTTTCGTAACTACATTTCACATCTCCCTAGCACGGGTTCACATAACCCCAGCTGAGATGTACACGTAGATCTTCCTAGCATCTCTTTTTTTTGGCCTCATGACTGGTGGGGTCAAATGGAACTGAGTTAAGAGGCCCAGAGGGATATGGTGGGCAGGGGAGCAGGATGTAGGCATGCACAGGCACATCTACTCAGGTGGTGGCTCTCTACCATCTTTGGAGAATTTCCTGGATGAGGCTGGATGAGGCTCTGGAAAACCCTATGCCTCTTCAAAGTCCTTTCAGCCTTGCTTACTCCCACTGGAGCTTGCAGGCAGTGATACTCTGGCTCTGCGCATTCTGTACAGAGTGCCTCTTGAAATCCTCTCAGGCAGAGATGCTAAAAGCCTTCTCCCAGTGAAGGCCAGAGGACCCAGCTCACTTGGGCTTAGCTGATACTGCACTAGGAAGAAGGATAAGAAGGAGGCTTGAAAAGGTCACACTGAGGCCGCAATTTCCAAACCAGTATGAAGGAACTGGATGCCTTAACACTCTCCAGATTAAACACTTGTTCTTGCCTGTTAATGGAATGTGCTGTAAAACAGCGTTTTCTTTACCTATTCAAGGAGAATTAGAGGGAGGGACCTGCTAATACCCGGGGAGGAAACTCTTTGTCTGCAGAGGCTGTTTTTCCCCACAGGTTGTTGGCAGAAAATAATGGCTTGTGAACAACCTGAGTCAATGTGGCTGCAACAACAGCAAAAGTGGAGGAAAGAAAACACAACCTCACAGGAAACTTAGACAGTAAACAGAGAAATAACAGGTCTGAGGCATCCATAGGTTTCCTGGATTCATTTCCCTCCTTTTCCAGCATTTTGCTGAGCACTATAGCACTATTCAAGCCATTATTACATTAAGAAGTTTTTTGGCTTTTCTGCCTGCAAAAATACTCATCACTTTTAAATTGAAGGCATCACTGTCTTATCTGGTCTGCAGCCAGAGGGACTGGAAGCAATAGAAGTGTGAACTTTCTCCTTCATCTCAGAGAACATTAACTTCAAAGCCCAGCCATAAACTTTCAGATGTAATGACTATTTGTCCAAAAGAGAAACACATCAGCTTGATCAATGACTGAAAGGTATAAAACACAGAGGTTACATTTGCTAAACACTTGGGAAAAATACATGGTTATAGTGGGGTGCGTGGAGGTGGGGAGTTACTACTGAATTATTTGGGCAGGCGGGCCCAAGGGGCAGTGTCAAGGTTGTCGTGGGTGGTTGTAGGTTCAGCACTGAGTGGTTTTTGTCCCAGAGGATGGGTTGCCATGTCAGAGTGTGCTCCAGTGTGCCCTTGGATGCAGACCTTCATCATCAAGTGGGGACCTTGTGGCTGTGCTGGCAGCCACACTAATCTGATGCTATTCCAAAAAACTGTGGGAGAAAACATTTCTTCTTGCAGCTGCTCAGACAAAGCATTCAGGACCACCAGCACTTTCTCTTGTGTCAGCTGTGTGAACGCTGACTAGAGAAAAACCTGCCCTGGGTGCAGCTGCCTTTTCCCTTGAGCTCCAGGGCGCAGGGTACAGGCAGTCAGTGTGCTAACAGAGATGGTAAGGCATGCTCAGAGATTTCAAGCATCTTTGGTAAGATTCCCCACATCCTTCTTATTTTTTTTAACATGCTTTCCATTTTTCTAATGAAAATTCCATGGAAAAAGAGCGTAAGGATGTCTTTTTGTTTCCGTGGCTTGCGTATGAGGAATCTAGATGGACGAGAATTATATCATGTGACTTTTTTCCCCAGTAAAAGCATTGCCTTTCCTGATAACATCCCTTCTCCCCTCAGCCATTAAGGCTTGTGGGAGGAGCTCAGACCTCATCCTCTCCCTAGCTGGTGGGTGCACGATCCTTGTACGTGGCACACAGTGCTCGGGGTGAGCACTTTGTAGGATTAATCAACTATTTGGTGAAAGTGTTTTCAAAAGAAGTAATTGGGATGACTTGCTGCTAGGCACCAGCTTCTGCTTGCTGAGGCTCCAGGGCTGGGGAATGCAGTCCAGACCTGTGTGATTCCTGTCTGAGGATGGAGAGAAGGAAGTGCCTGAGTACGAACAGAGATTTTGAAAGGTTTGTAACATCTTCTGCCAACATGTTTTTTGAATCAGCCTTGCGTGAACAAGTGAGAGCCCGGAAGAGCCGTGTCATCCTTGAAGGACAGCTGGGCTTGCTGGGGGGCTGCTTCATTTGGGATGGGAGACAAATGGTTG